CCACAGTGACACAGGACTGACCCCTCCCCCCTCGGGCAGGATCCACAGTGACACAGGACTCACCCCTCCCCCCTCAGACAGGATCCACAGTGACACAGGACTCACCCCTCCCCCCTCGGGGTCCACGGTGACACAGGACTCACCCCTCCCCCCTCAGACAGGATCCACAGTGACACAGGACTCACCCCTCCCCCCTCAGACAGGATCCACAGTGACACAGGACTCACCCCTCCCCCCCTCTGGCAGGATCCACAGTGACACAGGACTCACCCCTCCCCCCTCAGACAGGGTCCACAGTGACACAGGACTCACCCCTCCCCCCTCAGACAGGGTCCACAGTGACACAGGACTCACCCCTCCCCCCTCGGGGTCCATGGTGACACAGGACTCACCCCTCCCCCCTCGGGCAGGGTCCACAGTGACACAGGACTCACCCCCCCCTCGGGCAGGGTCCCACAGAAACTCCCCACCACTCTCCACAGGACCACCAGTACCACTGGGCGGGCCATACTCCCGCCCTGTCAGCCCCTGTAAGCAGCACCTCGCAGCCCTGACCCGCCGTGTCGGTGGGGACCCGGGCCTCAGTCCCTCTGCAACCTCGCAGCCCTTACCTGGCCGTGTCGGTGGGGACCCGGGCCTCAGTCCCTCTGGACCTGGTGGCTCAAGAGCAGCCTGTCCTCCCCCTGGCGCCAGCCCGGCCCTGCCCCGGCTGCCCCTCCCCAGCCCATCTCAGGTGGGGTCCCGGGCTTTGCCGAGCCCTCAGCCAGCCTCTGTCCCTGGCACCTGGGCGGGTACAGGAGAGGAAGAGCAGAGACTTCTCGGCTCGGTTCTGAACCAACATGATGATGGGTGGAGAGGTTTCGGGGGTCCCAGGGAAGACCCCTCCCCTGGGCTGCAGGCCCCACCCGCCCTGCCCGCCCGGGAAGGTCTGACAGCTGCTGCCCAGCAGATGGAGGCCCGAAGGCATGTGGACCACACGGAGGTCCCTGTGAGGGGCGCGGGCCCAGCCCAGGGAGCGGAAGAGGCATGACCGCAGAGCCTCTGCCCACGTGCCTGCCCGCTCCGGAGACCTTCCGGATCACCGAGGAAGCGGCTGCCTTCCAGCCCTGCTCCAGCTCTCCCGGCTCCTCGGGACTGTGCAGCTCCTGGCTGATCCTGTGACTCTCTGACTCCCTGCCGGGCTGCTGCCCGCACAGGCAGACCGACTCCACGCGGGGCTCCCAAGCCCGGGCTGGCCTGCCACCTCCTGGCTGCCTGGTTGGAGACACTTTCCTCAGCTACCCATGAAGGACAAACGCCAACAGCTGCCAGGCAGGAAGGACAGCTACAATGGAGAGTCCAGTGTGCCCCGCCTGGGGCGGGGCCGGGAAAGGGCCCACACCCTGCCGCTCCGCTGGGCCCCAGGGCCGCAGCTCGGGGTCGGCGCCTTCTCCCCGGCCTCGGCGCGTGCGGCTGGCCGCAGCCTCAGTGCTCTGCTCTGCAGCAGGGTTTCATCTGGGGCTGACTCCGTGGCCACCCACTTCCCTACAGACTACATCATCACTGCACACGTGTGCACGCACGAACACACGCACCACCCTAATTCCAAACCTCGGGCTTTTCAAGAGCTGCAGAGCCCTGAAATTTGTCTGGAAGGACACATTTGGGCCTAGAGAAATAGGAGCAGCAGCCCTGACCCCTGGCCTTGTTAGCAGGCCTGCCCGGCCGTCCCCAGGGGCCTGGGACACGGACACCTCCCACCCAGTCCGGGGGCCAATGGCCTGGCCTCAGGGTTGTTGCCATTTCTGCCAAGGGGGAAAAGTACGTACAGCTCAGGCCTGGCTGCAGGCCCAGAAACCACAGAACCACAGAGGAGCCCAGCTCAGGGAGCCAGCACAGAGCTCCTCCAGGCCCGAGCCTGGAGAGAAATGGCACTCCTTTCACATGCTGATGAGGCCCCATCCCCTGAGGGGCTGGGATGCCAGACAGACCACTGCCAGACAGACCACTACCAGCCAAGACCACTGCCAGACAGACCACTACCAGCCAAGACCACTGCCAGACAGACCACTACCAGACAGACCACTGCCAGACACCACTGCCAGACAGACCACTACCAGCCAAGACCACTGCCAGACAGACCACTACCAGCCAAGACCACTGCCAGACAGACCACTACCAGACAGACCACTGCCAGACAGACCACTGCCAGACAGACCACTACCAGCCAAGACCACTGCCAGACAGACCACTACCAGCCAAGACCACTGCCAGACAGACCACTACCAGCTAAGACCACTGCCAGACAGACCATACCAGCCAAGACCACTGCCAGACAGACCACTAACAGACAGACCACTGCCAGACAGACCACTACCAGACAGACCACTGCCAGACAGACCACTACCAGACAGACCACTACCAGCCAAGACCACTGCCAGACAGACCACTGCCAGACAGACCACTACCAGACAGACCACTACCAGCCAAGACCACTGCCAGACAGACCACTGCCAGACAGACCACTACCAGCCAAGACCACTGCCAGACAGACCACTACCAGACAGACCACTACCAGACAAGACCACTGCCAGACAGACCACTACCAGCCAAGACCACTGCCAGACAGACCACTGCCAGACAGACCACTGCCAGACAGACCACTGTCAGACCACTACCAGACAAGACCACTGCCAGACAGACCACTGCCAGACAGACCACTGCCAGACAGACCACTGCCAGCCGAGACCAATACCAGACAGACCACGGCCAGACAGACCACTGCCAGACAGACCACGGCCAGACAGACCACGGCCAGACAGACCACAGCCAGACAGACCACGGCCAGCCAAGACAAGCAAACTTTGCCTGGCTGCATCCCATGGGATCTGCAGAGCTGGTGGCTTCGGCCATCCCGGCAGCAGGTAGACATGGCCTCCCACCTGGGATCAGGTGTGCTGAGAATCCTACCAGAGCCAGCAGCAGTCCTAGGGAGAGCTCACCCCAAGTGACCCCAGGGACCCCTGTGGACATGGGGTCCATTTCAGACAGACCAGAGCAGCTGGAGCCCTGGTTTCCTGGGCTGTGCCCTAGTAAAGGTCACTGACTATTGTAGCCCCAGACAGCTGGCAGATGACCCCATGGGGAGCTGGTGAGAGTCCCAAGGGGTGTCTACCCACGCCTAGGCCAGGGTCAGCCAAGCCCATCCCAGCAAGCACAGAGCCCTCGCTGGGGCTGCTGACCCTCCAAGGAGGAAGCATGCCGGCACGCATGGGCCGTGACCGCAAGCAGCCGGGCCGCGGGGTCCAGCCAGCCCCGCCCGCCAGCTGAGCCGGGCCTCCCTGGAGTCAGGAATGCAGCTCTCTAGGATGCCCGCCCATTCCTGTCGGGCCGGCAGCCCTTCCCAGGAGTCCTGTGCCCAGCCTGCACACGAGAGGCCGGGGCGGGGGCCGGACAGGGTGTCCACTGCTGCCCGTTTCCTTCCAGCTGGAGAAGAGACACTGCTTCCGCCTGGGCCAGGGCCTGAGTCCTCCTGCGACCCAGCTGCCCAGCACCCATGCTGGCGCTCCGAGGACGAGGCCACCGCCCCGTCTTGCTGTAATGGAAACTTCTCGGCTGGGCTGTGAGTAGCGGCAGCTCCGGTTCCCGCCCTGCGTGGGATTTTGATACCTGGCAGGAGGCTGAAGGGCCAGGTCAGGTTGGCCGCCCCACAGGACAGCCGCAGCACCGCGGAGACCCAGGTGGGCGATGCCGCTGGTTACAGACGTACGTGTGCACGTGTGTGTCCGTCGGCATCTCCCTGGGTGAGTGTGTCTGTCCACGTGTGTCTGTGTCTCTGCGCGTGTGTGAATGTGTGTGTACTGTGTGTAAGGGCCCTGGGGAGACTCTGGCACCCTGGGGGCCCGGCCTGCCTCCAGCCTTTCGGAGGAGGTCGCGTGGAACGGGCCAGGCAGCCAAGCCCGGTGCAGCCCGGCCCCCCCAGGATGAGCGCCTGACCCATGTCCCCAACACACTGCAGGGGTGAAGCGGGAGGGGAGCTGTCAGGCTGGGGTAGCAGCGGGGAGGCAGCGGAGATCAGAGCTGTGTCACAGGCGAGGGGCAGAAGGGCGGTGGCGGGCCGAGCAGCCGTCCACCGACACAGAGGTGAGGCCCGCCGAGCTCCCGAAAGCAGCTTTGCATCCATCTCAGGGAGAGGAAATGGGCTCACTTCCTGGGCCCCCAACCCAGTTCCTCCAGCTCCTGTTTCCAGCCAAGAGCTTCTTCTCCCGGGGCCTCCTGGGCTCCAGGCCGGTGGCTGGCGCCCCGTGGGCAGCACGCAAGGCCGGCCTGCCGCAGCGCCGCCCAGCAGCCCTCTCTCTCTGCCCCCAGACTCCCTGCTTCTGGGGAGCACAGTGCACCTGCGCCAAATCTACAGGGGGTAGGGAGCGGTTCTCAGGTCATCTCCCCGAGCAGAGGCCGAGGCCCTGGCAGAGCACCCCCTCCCCAGGCGGGTGACATGGACTGGCAGTGACATTCTGCAGGCCCAGGCCCCCAGGACTATTTTTATTTCCCACAGTCAGGGGCAGAGCCCTGGAGGAGCACACGCCCCCCTGGCCAGCAGCTCGGGCTGGCGGTGACACTATGGGCCTCGGGCCTCTGGAACTATTTTCTACCCTTTATCACCCATCTGTCACAAGCCAGCTACTGAGCAGATGTGCTCGAGTTACTGCCAGCAATGCTCTGGGCGGCCAGGCCAAGCCCTGCAAGTGACAATGACAAAACTCCCCACATTGCCCGGGACAGACATCAACATCCCTAAGGAGCATTACACGGCCACCAAAGGCGGTGACGAAGGAGTCGGACCGCTGCAGACAGGGAGGTTTTCGAGCTCCCAGGAGCTCTTTAATTACGTTCCTGTGTCACTCCAACAATGAAGTCTCTCTCCTCTCAGGACCATGCTCAGGGAAATGAGGACTACAGCTTGACCCTCACACCCCAACTTCCAACCAGAGATACATCGAACCAGGAAGGATGAACAGGCCACATGGGGCTCACCAAAAAGGTAAAACAGGAGCCCAGAGCTGGACTTTTGCCGGTGGAGAGCAGGGTGCCCTGGGGGAGAGCAGGCTGGGCCTACACTTGCTCTGGTGAGGGGAAGGGTGGGGAGGGGGGGAGGGGAGAGGAGGAGGGGAGAGGGGGGAAGGGGAGGGAGGGAAGTGGTGTCAGCTGGAAGGGTTCCATCTGAATCAGGAGCAGCGCGGGACCAGAGGTGTGTGGAGTTGGGGCAGGAGGGGACCCAGCATGGCAAGGGTCTGTGGGCCTCGGGCCAGGTCTGTGGAGGACAGGAGGGAAGGACACTGGACAGAGGCAGAAGCCATAGAAGGCCATGGCCAGGTTGAGGCTAGGAATGGGGTGGGCTGAAGTCACCCCGTATCCAAGGTGCAGGTGGAAAGGGAGCGGACGAGGCCAGGAAAGGGGCCTGAGTCACGGGCTCTGCTCCAAGGCACAGGTCGGGGTCCAGGCGCCTGAGGCCGTCATCTGGCCCTGAGGCCACAGAGCACTCCAGCTTGCGGGAGGACGCCACACCGGAAGGGAGGGGACAGACAGGAGCGCAGCAGACGCCCGCTCCAGCTTCCGGCCAGGCAGGCAGCCTTCCCCAAGCCAAGCAGGAGGCCGTGCCCAACCGGGTGCCCGGCCCGAGGCATGGGCATGGCTAACGGCCAGCGTGCCAGACACCAGGCGCTCCAGGCCCTCCTCCAACGCAGGGCGGGTGGATGGCCCTGCATGGCAGGTTGGGAGACACCCCACGGAGAGCGGCCTGACACCTGCAGTCCCAGGAGACAGACCCCAGCAGCCGGCCAGCACCGCCCACCAGCCCACACCGCCTTCTCCATTGGGTAGAGTGGCAAACTCTTCCCATGTCCCAGAATCTCTCAGTCCCTGCTGGGGTCCACGCGGCTGGCCTGGGGTCTCAGAGGCTTTCCACGCCCTCTCTGGGCCAGGCTGCGGGGCCCCGGGGCAGGGGTTCACAGCCGTTTCCTCCCCACTCCCCATCTCAGGAGGGTGACCGGAAGTGCCCGCCCTCCATACTGAGACCGCACCCCCCAGGGTGTGCACCCCACGGGGCACCGAGGACGCCGAAGCACGTGCAGTTCCGAGAGCCGCTGGAAGTGGCCGTCCACTGTAAGAGACGCAGGGCAGCCGGGACAATGAGCAGGGGTGGGGTGGGCGTCCATGCGTCCCCAGCAGGGACACCTGCCTCAGGGCCAGCCGGCAGGGCTTGGTGGGGGGGGCAGGGCCTGGGCACACGTGGGCGTGGGCCTCGGGAGAGGGGCCGGGCCGGGGCTCTCCTCACTGTGGTTTCCTTTCAGATATCTCCAGGAGAGAAGCCTCAGACACCATCAACGGTGCGTCCTGAGCTGAGCCTGCCCCGGGCCCTGAGCCCACCCCACGGGGCAGTGCAGCCAGCCCACCCACCCGCCCCTCTCCAGATTCCCTAGGCCCCCTCTGGCCTCCCGGTCTGGCTCTCCATCCTTGAGGGCCACTCCTCTGCCTGGCCCCTAAGGACGCGGATGAGCCCAGTGCCCTGGTGGGCCTGGTCTTCCTGGGGCAGGATCCATGTCTCCAGGGCCATGCGAGTCACCCCAGGGTCCCCCCAAGCCCCTGCAATGGGCAGGGCCCCAGCGCCAGCCTCAGGTCAGCAGGGGGTGGCTCTTCCCCTGCCAGCCCCGCCCGCAGAGGACACTCCCTGCCAGGTCCCACCGGGGAGGGTCCAGACCACAGCCAGGACTGACCGCCGGCCCTTCCCCCCGCAGGGCCCAGCCGGCCAACAGCCCGCAGCCGCGGTCCGCGCCGGCGCAGGCTCCAGGGCGGCTCCCTGCTCCTGCGCCTGTCTGTGTGTGTCCTGCTCGCGGCGGCGCTGGGTCTGTGCTGCAGGCAGGCCAAGCCCATCGCCGGGGCCCTGGAGGACCTTCGGGCCTGGCTCCTGGGCCTTGGCCTGCGCCTGTGGCGCGTGGCCCTCTCCTGCTGGCACTGTGTCCTGCAGCTCTGACCCACGCCAGAGCACGCATCATCTCCGGACAGCCCTGGGGGCAGTGCCGAGGGCACGGGCTTCGGCCTCCCGCGTGGGAGGCCCCCATGCTGAAGACGCAGAGCCACGCCGGACAGGAGGCACCGTGGCCTGAGCAGCGGGCTCCCGGCTCTGCTCTTCCATGTGCTGGTCCGCCGTCAGCTTGTCAGAGAACCCTTCCCGACACCCTTCACGCCGGGGCCGTGGGCTCCCGCCCGGCCGGTGCCCCCGCATCCCTCTCCATGCTGCGGGCCTGGCTGTCTGTGCGGCCCCTTGGGCGCCGGGTCCCTGCTCCCTCTTTGCGGAACAGGCTGGAGAAGGCAGCGCCCAGCCTCTGGCCGCGGGGGCCGAGCTCCCGCTGTGATCCGTGGGGTCCTGCGGGCACTGGGCTCCATGCTGAGCCCAGCCTCTCTCCCCTCTAGTCCTGAGAACTGAGGACTGTGGGTGTGAGTGTGGACGTGGGCGGAGGGGCAGGCTCTAGGCCCCACCAGCTTGTAAGGACCGCTAACCAGGGAGCACTGCCCAGAATTCCAGCACTGCCCAGCAGCGGTGGGTCCCCTGCAGACATGGCGCTGTCACTCAGATCGCAGGACTGAGAGCAGCCTGTGATGACAAACTCCACAGCCCTTCCCATCCCTGGGCAAAGCAGGGGCCAGGGTCAGACACCAGCTGGGCTGGCCTGGGCCCAAGGGCACCATTGGCTGTCCTTACCCGCCTGCCCGCAGCCCTCCTCCTCCCCCCTGCAGTCCTCCTCCCCCCTGCAGTCCTCCTCCCCCCTGCAGTCCTCCTCCCCCCTGCAGTCCTCCTCCCCCCTGCAGTCCTCCTCCCCCCTGCAGTCCTCCTCCTCCCTGCAGTCCTCCTCCTCCCTGCAGCCCTCCTCCTCCCTACAGTCCTCCTCCTCCCTGCAGTCCTCCTCCTCCCTACAGTCCTCCTCCTCCCTGCAGTCCTCCTCCTCCTCCCTGCAGTCCTCCTCCTCCCTGCAGCCCTCCTCCTCCCTGCAGTCCTCCTCCTCCTCCCTGCAGTCCTCCTCCTCCCTGCAGTCCTCCCCCCTGCAGTCCTCCTCCCCCCTGCAGTCCTCCTCCCCCCTGCAGTCCTCCTCCTCCCTGCAGTCCTCCTCCTCCTCCCTGCAGTCCTCCTCCTCCCTGCAGTCCTCCTCCTCCCTGCAGTCCTCCTCCTCCTCCCTGCAGTCCTCCTCCTCCTCCCTGCAGTCCTCCTCCTCCCTGCAGTCCTCCCCCCTGCAGTCCTCCTCCTCCTCCCTGCAGTCCTCCTCCTCCCTGCAGCCCTCCTCCTCCTCCCTGCAGTCCTCCTCCCTGCAGCCCTCCTCCTCCCTGCAGTCCTCCTCCCCCCTGCAGTCCTCCTCCTCCCTGCAGTCCTCCTCCTCCTCCCTGCAGTTCTCCTCCTCCCTGCAGTCCTCCTCCCCCCTGCAGTCCTCCTCCTCCCTGCAGTCCTCCTCCTCCTCCCTGCAGCCCTCCTCCTCCCTGCAGTCCTCCTCCCCCCTGCAGTCCTCCTCCTCCCTGCAGTCCTCCTCCTCCTCCCTGCAGCCCTCCTCCTCCCTGCAGTCCTCCTCCCCCCTGCAGTCCTCCTCCTCCCTGCAGTCCTCCTCCTCCTCCCTGCAGTCCTCCTCCTCCCTGCAGTCCTCCTCCTGCTCCCTGCAGTCCTCCTCCTCCCTGCAGTCCTCCTCCTCCCTGCAGTCCTCCTCCCTGCAGCCCTCCTCCTCCCTGCAGACCTCCTCCCTGCAGCCCTCCTCCTCCCTGCAGTCCTCCTCCCTGCAGCCCTCCTCCCTGTAGTCCTCCTCCCCCCTGCAGTCCTCCTCCCCCCTGCAGTCCTCCTCCCCCCTGCAGTCCTCCTCCTCCCTGCAGTCCTCCTCCCCCTCCCTGCAGTCCTCCTCCTCCCTGCAGTCCTCCTCCTCCTCCCTGCAGTCCTCCTCCTCCCTGCAGTCCTCCTCCCCCTCCCTGCAGTCCTCCTCCTCCTCCCTGCAGTCCTCCTCCTCCCTGCAGTCCTCCTCCTCCTCCCTGCAGTCCTCCTCCTCCCTGCAGTCCTCCTCCTCCTCCGTGCAGCCCTCCTCCTCCTCCCTGCAGTCCTCCTCCTCCTCCCTGCAGTCCTCCTCCTCCCTGCAGCCCTCCTCCTCCTCCCTGCAGCCCTCCTCCTCCTCCCTGCAGTCCTCCTCCCTGCAGCCCTCCTCCTCCCTGCAGTCCTCCTCCTCCCTGCAGTCCTCCTCCCTGCAGTCCTCCTCCTCCCTGCAGTCCTCCTCCTCCCTGCAGTCCTCCCCCCTGCAGTCCTCCTCCTCCTCCCTGCAGTCCTCCTCCTCCCTCCCTGCAGCCCTCCTCCTCCTCCCTGCAGTCCTCCTCCTCCCTGCAGTCCTCCTCCCTGCAGCCCTCCTCCCCCCTGCAGTCCTCCTCCCCCCCTGCAGTCCTCCTCCTCCCTGCAGTCCTCCTCCTCCCTGCAGTCCTCCTCCTCCTCCCTGCAGTCCTCCTCCTCCCTGCAGTCCTCCTCCTCCCTGCAGTCCTCCTCCCTGCAGCCCTCCTCCTCCCTGCAGTCCTCCTCCCCCCTGCAGTCCTCCTCCTCCCTGAAGTCCTCCTCCTCCCTGCAGTCCTCCTCCTCCTCCCTGCAGTCCTCCTCCTCCCTGCAGTCCTCCTCCTCCCTGCAGTCCTCCTCCTCCCTGCAGTCCTCCTCCTCCTCCCTGCAGCCCTCCTCCTCCCTGCAGTCCTCCTCCTCCCTGCAGTCCTCCTCCTCCCTGCAGTCCTCCCCCCTGCAGTCCTCCTCCTCCTCCCTGCAGTCCTCCTCCTCCTCCCTGCAGCCCACCTCCTCCTCCCTGCAGCCCTCCTCCTCCCTGCAGTCCTCCTCCTCCCTGCAGTCCTCCTCCTCCCTGCAGTCCTCCTCCTCCCTGCAGTCCTCCTCCTCCCTGCAGTCCTCCTCCCTGCAGCCCTCCTCCTCCCTGCAGACCTCCTCCCTGCAGCCCTCCTCCTCCCTGCAGTCCTCCTCCCTGCAGCCCTCCTCCCTGTAGTCCTCCTCCCCCCTGCAGTCCTCCTCCCCCCTGCAGTCCTCCTCCCCCCTGCAGTCCTCCTCCTCCCTGCAGTCCTCCTCCCCCTCCCTGCAGTCCTCCTCCTCCCTGCAGTCCTCCTCCTCCTCCCTGCAGTCCTCCTCCTCCCTGCAGTCCTCCTCCCCCTCCCTGCAGTCCTCCTCCTCCTCCCTGCAGTCCTCCTCCTCCCTGCAGTCCTCCTCCTCCCTGCAGTCCTCCTCCTCCCTGCAGTCCTCCTCCTCCTCCGTGCAGCCCTCCTCCTCCTCCCTGCAGTCCTCCTCCTCCTCCCTGCAGTCCTCCTCCTCCCTGCAGCCCTCCTCCTCCTCCCTGCAGCCCTCCTCCTCCTCCCTGCAGTCCTCCTCCCTGCAGCCCTCCTCCTCCCTGCAGTCCTCCTCCTCCCTGCAGTCCTCCTCCCTGCAGTCCTCCTCCTCCCTGCAGTCCTCCTCCTCCCTGCAGTCCTCCCCCCTGCAGTCCTCCTCCTCCTCCCTGCAGTCCTCCTCCTCCCTCCCTGCAGCCCTCCTCCTCCTCCCTGCAGTCCTCCTCCTCCCTGCAGTCCTCCTCCCTGCAGCCCTCCTCCTCCCTGCAGTCCTCCTCCCCCCTGCAGTCCTCCTCCTCCCTGAAGTCCTCCTCCTCCCTGCAGTCCTCCTCCTCCTCCCTGCAGTCCTCCTCCTCCCTGCAGTCCTCCTCCTCCCTGCAGTCCTCCTCCTCCCTGCAGTCCTCCTCCTCCTCCCTGCAGCCCTCCTCCTCCCTGCAGTCCTCCTCCTCCCTGCAGTCCTCCTCCTCCCTGCAGTCCTCCTCCTCCCTGCAGCCCACCTCCTCCTCCCTGCAGCCCTCCTCCTCCCTGCAGTCCTCCTCCTCCCTGCAGTCCTCCTCCCCCCTGCAGTCCTCCTCCTCCTCCCTGCAGTCCTCCCCCTCCCTGCAGTCCTCCTCCTCCTCCCTGCAGTCCTCCCCCTCCCTGCAGTCCTCCTCCTCCCTGCAGTCCTCCTCCTCCCTGCAGTCCTCCTCCTCCCTGCAGTCCTCCTCCTCCTCCCTGCAGTCCTCCTCCTCCCTGCAGCCTTCCTCCTCCCTGCAGTCCTCCTCCTCCTCCCTGCAGTCCTCCTCCTCCCTGCAGTCCTCCTCCTCCTCCCTGCAGTCCTCCTCCTCCCTGCAGTCCTCCTCCTCCCTGCAGTCCTCCCCCCCTGCAGTCCTCCTCCTCCTCCCTGCAGTCCTCCTCCTCCTCGCTGCAGTCCTCCTCCTCCCTGCAGTCCTCCTCCTCCCTGCAGTCCTCCTCCTCCTCCCTGCAGTCCTCCTCCTCCCTGCAGTCCTCCTCCTCCTCCCTGCAGTCCTCCTCCTCCCTGCAGTCCTCCTCCTCCCTGCAGTCCTCCTCCTCCTCCCTGCAGTCCTCCTCCTCCTCCCTGCAGCCTTCCTCCTCCCTGCAGTCCTCCTCCTCCCTGCAGCCCTCCTCCTCCCTGCAGTCCTCCTCCTCCCTGCAGTCCTCCTCCTCCCTGCAGTCCTCCTCCTCCCTGCAGTCCTCCTCCTCCCTGCAGCCCTCCTCCTCCCTGCAGTCCTCCTCCTCCCTCCCACATCCTTGGGCCTCTCAGGCTGTTGTTTATGAGTCTCTGGGGGAGTCCACCCCAGCACCTGGGCAAGGCCTGTCCAAGCAGCTCACGGACATTCTGCTCTGGGTGCCTCCCCTCAGCCCGCCCTGTCCACCCTGGCCAGGCTTCAGGACCGCAGGTAGCACTCTAGCATCTTCTCCAGCCTCGGAGTTCAGGGCCCGTGGCTGGACAGCAGCAAGAGGCTGTGTTCCCAGGGGATGGGGTGGGCTGTCACCATGGTTACCGCCTCCATGCACTGCCCAGCTGCCCTGACCGTGTCCCCCCACCACGAACGAGTACGGGCAGGCCACGGTCCTGTCCTCCACAGAGCTCCGAGAGCCTCCCGCTCGGCCCGTCCTGCTCTGGGGGGCAGGGGCGCCGGAAGGGACAGGGCAGCGAGCCCCGCGGACGTGTAACTAGCCCCAGCTGCTTTGGAATAAATCTGCTCAAGATGGGCACTGGACCTGCGGGAGCAGCAAGACTCAAACCCCTGGAAATTTCTGGCAAACTCCAGGACAAGAAGGGCAAACGTGGCACAACCATTTCCATCATAAACCACAAGCAGTTAGGACCAGGAGCACAGGGCAGGCAAGCTGAGAGGCACGGCAAATCCTCACAGTCTTGTACACACACACACACACACACACACACGCGCACACACACACACACACGCACACACATGCACACACACACACACACACACACACACACTCAGGAGGGTTTTTATTGTTTGAGAGATAAATACACGGAAGTTGAAGAACCTCACCCTCAGTTTAGCCAAGAATGGGATTAGAACTGGCAACCCCATGGAAAGCTGAGCGACGTCATGGAGTTCTTCAAAGCAGTTTGCACAGCCGCCGCAGCACCCACAACCACTGCCTGCTCCGTCTGGGCTCCTGCCTGGCCCTCCCGGCCTCCCGCCCATGGCCAGCGCCCGCCAGCACCCCAGGCCCCCCCCCCCGCCCATGGCCAGCGTCTGCCAGCACCTCAGGCCAGCAGTCCCCTCCCGGCCTCCCGCCCGTGGCCAGCGCCCGCCAGCACCCCAGGCCAGCGGTCCTCCCCCGGCCCCCCCCCACCCATGGCCAGCGCCCGCCAGCACCCCAGGCCAGCGGTCCCCTTCCAGAGTCCCCAGGGCTGAGCTGCGTCTCTGTTGCAGACCAGCATGGGGCGGGGCGGGCCTGGTGCCACACCAGCTCCCAGGAGCCCACGGGAGGCAGTGCCACAGGCAGGCTCGGCGCCAGGACCCCACACGGCCCCCTTCTCCTCCCCCTGGGCCCTCTTCGTGGCTGCCTGAACGTGGCCACGGGCGGGGGGGGAGGGGGACAGACGGGGTGGCTCGGGGTCTGGAAAGGTCACCGTGCCAGCAGACCGGAGCTGTGCGAAGGGGACCCGGAGACCAGATTGGGTTCAGGAACTTCCGATGGTGTCAAAACACCTGCCCCTGAGTTGCTGGTGGCCCTGCCAGAAGCGCGGTGAGGTCTTGAGGCCAAAGCCCCTGAGGCAGCAGGATCCTGGCCCTGCTTGGCCCGTTACCCCTCACCCCTGCCTCCGGGAGAAGATGATCCCTCCCCGGCCCCCAGGCTGCCCAAGCACTGGTCTTTGCAAAGTGCTCACCAGTCACTGGTGACGGAGAGCGGGGTACAGACCAGGGCCGGGCCTCCCTGCCCAGAAGGGTTGGTGGCCACAGCCTTGGAGCCCCAGATGGGTGTGGCCCCCCCGCACTGGGGCCCCCTCCATGGACAAGGGTACACACACGCCAGCCGGGAGCCCTGAGCGGGGCAAGGGCTCTACTGCGGGAAATGCCCCAGTGGGGCAGGTCCAAGGCCAGGCTGCAAGGAGGCCGGAGCCCAGCTGGGGTCCAGCCCGGCATCCGGGCCCACTCAGCCCGGGGTCCGGACGTACCAGGCCCCCCTCCTGGCTCTGGCTGGCTGGGGCCACTCTCTGGGGGAGCCCAGGCCCAGCAGCACAGCACCCCCTGCCCCGCAGCCCACCTCCCACCACGCTTCCCACGTGAGGGTCTGTGGCCACACCAGGGGGGCAGAGGAGTCAGGACACGGGACAGGTGTGACACTGGCCGTGGAAGTCAGCAGCCCCGCAGCCTGCTTTCTGCCCCAGCAGCGCTGCTGGCTCTGAGTGGGGGCCGCGGGCTCGGGAAGCATGCGGGGCTGAGCAGGCTGCAGTTCCGGGGTGGGCTGGGGGCAGGGGAGCGGGGGGGGCCTGGGGGTGGGAGAGTGGGGGGGCCTGGGGGCGGGAGAGCGGGGGGGTCCTGGGGGCGGGGGAGCGGGGGGGGGGCCTGGAGGTGGGGGAGCGGGGGGGGGGCCTGGGGGTGGAGGAGCGGGGGGGGGGGCCTGGGGGCGGGGGAGCGGGGGGGGCCTGGGGGCGGGGGAGCGGGGGGGCCTGGGGGCGGGGGAGCGGGGGGGGGGACTGGGAGGAGGGCTTGGAGGCAGGGGAGCGGGGGGGGGGGGTTGGGGGCAGGAGAGCGGGAGGGGGCCTGGGGGCAGGGGAGCATGGGGGGCCTGGGGGCGGGGGAGCCGGGGGGGGGCCTGGGGGCGGGGGAGCGGGGGCACCTAGGGGGGGGAGTGGGGGGGGGCCTGGCGACACCCCTGGCCCACACGGAGCCTAAATAACGGCGCTCTTCTCCTCCTGGAAGGAGGTGCAGGGCCTGGCCAGCAGCAGCTCCTTCTCGTGCACCAGGCTGTCCAGCAGGTCCTCTTGGCGGTAGTTATGGTAGACCTTCAGGAAGGCCAGGGTCGTGATGGCCAGCCAGGCCAGCCAGGAGGCCCAGAGACTGAACTGCACAGAGGAGGGCGGCGTCAGGCTGGCGCGCCCACACACAGCCCCCTCCCGCCCCCGGCCCTGAGGGACGCTGGGACATGGCACGCCTTGGTGACCCCGGACACTGTGCCTCTGCGGTAACCGTCAGGCCCAGGTCCGCGCGGGGCCAGGGAAGCCGCCCACCCTCGTCCCAGGCCGATGGGGGCTCCCCCTCCCAGAACCAGGCTGCCTCGGCCCTGAAGAGAGCCTGTAAATCCAGGGGCGCCTCCAGCCGTGGAATAATTTGACCTTTATCTGCTATTTCCAAACAGTTGAAGGGGAGAGGACTTAATCAGCTCTGGGCCTGCACCGTGTCAGCCCGATTCCCACTGAGCGTATGCATGCTCAGACCCCACAAATCAGGTCTGACGCGTCTGCCACCGAACTTGCATGAAGGTGTCTTTGACCATTTCAGCTCAGCTCAGCGGAGAACCTGCAGCCCGCCGCTTCCCCTCACACACACTGCCAGCTGACACTGGACCAGAGGCCAGGCCAGGACCAGAGGCCACGGGCCCAGGCAGAGCAGGAAGGGCTGGGCAACCCCGCAACACCTGTGCGGGGCGCAGACACAGGCTCCAGGCACAGGGAACACTAGGTTTCAGCTCAGGGCCTACCGACCACGAGTGTGCCCCCAACAAGCCTGCATGGACACGGCGTGGAGCTCCCAGCCTCCTGGAGGGGGCGCCGGAGGGCAGAGGGGTGCCGGGAGGCTGCAGGGTGCCAGGAGGACAGGGTCCTCCAGGTATGCAGCTGGTCCTGGGACACCACACGTGCCCCTGGCTCAGGGCAGCGGGCAGCCGGCAGCCTCTGAAGGGCCCCTCTTGGCCCCAGGGCAGAATCTGAGCTCCCCATTGCGCTGGGTTGGCCTGGTCTGGCGCCACCTTCCCCTCCCCCACCCCAGCTACCCGACACCCGCCTCTCCAGGGTGTCTGTCCAGCCTGTGAGTTTGTGCCCTGCCCTGCCCACCTGCATCTGCCTAGGAAAGTCCAGCTCCTTCTCCAGGAACGGCTTCTCCCATGCTCCCCAGAGGAAGGCGCCTGGCCGCCCACGCCGGCCTCACCCCGCCTGGCACAGGTTTCCTTGGGGGCGGTGGGAGGGGCGTCGCAGGCCATGCCCCGTGGCCAGCCCCCCCACACCCCCGCTCTTCCTGCCTGAACCCACCTACCTGGGCAATGGCAAACTGATGGTAGAAGGCGGAGTTGTCCACGCTCAGCTCCAAGTCCAGGTCCTGGAGCTCCTTACAGCTGCAACAAAAGGGCGCGGGCGGACGGGCAGGGCAGCTGTGAGCCGGGCCCCTCCCCACACCACACACGGCCCGGCCCCAAGGGGCACAGACAGGGGAGCTTCACAGCGGCCTCGGGGGTCAGCACAGACTCCTGCAGGAAGTCTGCAGAGCTGACCCAGCCTGGCACTGGAGGGCACCAGCGCTGGCCCCGGCTCCCGTGGTCAGTCCTCAGTTCCCCTGTCCAGTGCTGGCCTGCCCAAGCTGCTCAGAGAGAGGCAGAGGAGGGAGCCATGGCCAGAACCAAGACTGGGAGGCTACTTGGGGATCGCTATTCCCAAGGGCAGAGGACTGCCCTGTCCAGTCCTGCAGTCCCTGGGCTGAGACGGGCGTGAGGTCCAGCCGCACTGCTCAGTGGACCCAACCACGGGCCCAGCCCGCTTCAGACCCCAGTGGGAGCTCAGGCTAAAACTAACCGCTGGGGCTGGGGCGGGCCTGCACAGTGTCCACACACCGGGCTGCGGGGAGGGGTGCGGGGCCGGGCGACTCACACCCGTGTGTGACACACACCTGTGGGGCACGGTGCCCTTTTCAGTGATGGTGTCACACCACATGGTGAAGCCCACACTCACGATGGTGCTGGCGATGAAGACCAGGACCACCACCAGGGCGCTGACCAGGAGGCTCAGGAAGGCGTAGAAGAAGGACCTGAGGCCGAGAAGACAGAGAACTACTGAGAACCCCTGGGGCCTCCTCGCCTCCAGCGGTGTCCCCGAGACGGAGGGGCACAGCCCTGGAGTCAGGGCCCACGCCGGGGTTGAGCAGGGCCTCGGGCGGCGGCTGCCCCTCCACAGCTGCCCCCCTGCCAAGACTCCAGTGCTGGCCCTGAGCTGCCTGACGGGCCCAAGGCTGGAAGCTGAAGCCACCCACCACACCACCCACCACACCGTGCGGGGGAGGCAGGGCCAACACAAGGTGGCGGGTGTGTCCACTGAAATCGCAAGCCGTCCACCCACAAGGCTGTCCAGCCATGTAGTCACTGGCCTCTGTGGGCTGGACGCTGGCAGCTCCCTATGATCAAATGCGTCATCCTCATCCAAGAAGGCAGGGGGAGAGGCCTCTGAGGGGTCGCGGGACCCAGAGTCCCCACCAGGCAGGAGCAATGGTGAGCAGGAGCCATTTGTCAACCAGGAAGGGGCCCTCAGCAGACACGGATCCTGAGGTCCAGCCTCCAGAGCCCCGCTGCCGACACACCATCTGCACTGCCCAGTGTGGGTCTGCACCCTGAGCAGACTGCCCGGAGGGCGGCCATCCACCACATGGTCCCCAAGACAGGACCTGCACTACCACTTGCTCTTTGACCCGCTCTGAGTTACTCAGCCAAATCTAAAAGGCCAAGCTGGGCCGGGGCTGACCGGGCCCTGGTTGACCGGAGCGGGCATCTGGAGTGTGGAGGGGAGAGGATGCAGGCCAGGCTGCACTGGCCTCCCCGGGCCCTCGATCTCACAGGAGACACGCACCCCACAGACCACCTCACCCCAAACACCCACCTCCTCCGAAACCCTCAAAGGAGCCTGGGGTGGCTGAGTCTGAGGAGCTCGCTGAGACTGAGGTGATGGAGGGCAGAGCGGCTCCCTCCGGCCAACAACGGGAGACGAGCGAAGTGGCCGGCCAGAGAGCCTTCCACGGGCACGTGACGGAGGCCACGCTGGCCAAGGCCGGCAGAGCCCAGCTCTGTTCTCTGGTCCCATGCGGGGCACAGAGGACAAAGGAAAGGAACGGGGTCTTCCAATGTGCGCGTGACACCTGCACCCGACTGACCCGGTGCCGCCGAGGCTGGCACAGGAGCCACCGACAGCCCGAGCGCTGCGGGCTGCTCACCACGGGCCCCCCAGCCCTCGGGCTCCCAGGCAGGCGAGCGAGGCAGGAGAGGGAGGCTGGAACCCGTCCCTGGGAAAGGCAGAAGAGGCCGGGGTCACAGGGCGCTCTCCAGGCCGCAGGCTGTGGTCCGGCAGCCTCCACAGGAAGTGCGAGGCTCGTGCCGGCATGCCCATCTCTGCCCTCAGCTCGACAAGACCAAACTGACTCCCCGCGGCTCCGTGCCTCCTGCGCTCAGGGGTGCAGCCCCGCACACCGCAGCCCCGTCCCCGCAGCTCTCTGGTACACTGGACAGTCCCAGCCCTGCCCCACCTGACACCCCGCCCAGAGCCTCTGAAGAACAGGCCGTGAGCAGCGCTCTGCCCGCGCAGGGTGGAGGAAAGTGGGAAGGGGCTGTGTCGGGCTGCCCGGCGCCGGCCGTATCCATGACGCCCGCTGTGCTCCAGCCCCTCTGGAGCCCGTGCGTCCCGAGGCTGCTGAGATAACACAGGAGCTCCACTTCCTAGTCTCCTACCAACCAGCCCTCCTTGATCGCCACACTGAGGGACCCCACACCTCCATTCCCGATTCTAAACCCACCCTCCTACTCCAGGCTCGATCCAAGGGCTGGAACAGTGCACCAGAGCCCCTGAGGTCCACAGAGACCCTGCCTGGGCCTCAAGAGCTTGTATCACCCGCCTCTGAGCCCTTGCCAGTCACATGACCTTGAGCAGGTCGGTGCCTCTCTGATCCTGTTTCTCCCTCTGTGAACTGCCGTGTCTGTGAGTAAAAGTCTACAGGCAATGGCTGCCAGTATGCCCGCGAATGCACACTCCCCCCCGCCCCCCAACACCCTGGCCTGCTGCCCTGGCTCACTAGGGCCTGGGTGTGGGATAAAGGCCAGGAAGCAAAGGTGTCTGCAGTGGGGAATCATGGGAACTGGGCCGTCTGGGCGGAGCAGGCAGGGGCTAGGGGCAGGAGGGGCGGGCCAGGAAGGAGGCCTCAGACAGCCTCCCCCAAGACGGCGCAGGCTGGGGAGGGGACAGGGACAGCCTCACCCCAAGTTCACCATGCCGCTGTGCCCTCTCCCAGCACACACAAGGACAGGGCAGGACCGCAGGCAGAAAGAGGAAGCATCACACACAGGGTTAACTGTCTTTCTCAAGCTGCTTCTGGGGTACCCAGGCTGGCTGTGCCGTCTCCATGGTGACAGACATCCCAGGAAGCCCCAAGCAATCTGAGGGCTGAGCGGCAGGTGTGGGCAGGCAGATGGGTTGTTTTAACCCAGAGCTGCTGCCAACACCAGCTCAAAGGGTTCCTGTTGGGCACAGCTGCCCCGAGCCCTGGGCCCAGGACTCTGCCGCACTGCCTCCGGGGGCAGGTCCCTGAGCCCCAGGCACCAGTCAGCCACCTACTCGGTCACTCAGCAGACGAGGCTGGCTCCAGGCCCGCAGCCGCGCAGTTTCCCTGACTCCCTCTTTATACTCCGGACACACCGCCTGGGCCTCACAGCCCAGCAGACACACCTGCATAAGCAGAGGGCTGCTCCCGGAAGCTTCCCTTCTGTGAACTCAGCACCAATCAAAAGCCCCAGGACAGACCACAAGGCGGGCTCTGGACACTGGCAAGAGGACACAGCAGCAGGCTCTGAGCCTGATGTCCAGTCTTAAGAGGCAGAGTGTGTGCTGACTGTAGCCAGGCCTCCCTCCCAAACCCAGGGCCTGGCCTGGGTGACCTCAAGGCTGGACATTCAGTGGCCCTGAGGCCTGTCCCTCGCATGACAGCCTCGGCCACTGACAGAGTCCAGGCTACTGTGGTCCCCAACATGCCCCTTGGAGTCGCCTACAGCTTCCTGACCGCCCAGGCCACACCACAGAGCTGCCTGTGCCTCCTGAGGAGCCGGAACAGAGCCCTGGGACGGCCTGGAAAGGCCACGCCCAGGCCTTCCGTCTTTAAAATGGCTTCCTCTCGGTCATTTCACAGGGCAGACAGACACCTGCCTGAGGCAGGACCTGGGTTTGCTGACCATTTATGCATAGGTGACCAATGTTCTCGTCCTGTAAACTCTGAGAAGCTCTATCCTCCCTGTCCCTCTACCCCAGCCCCCGTGCCCCTCCCTGCCCAGCCCCCGTGCCCCTCCCTGCCCAGCCTCTGTGCCCCTCCCTGCCCCTGCCCAGCCCCTGTGCCCCTCCCTGCCCAGCCCCTGTGCCCCTCCCTGCCCAGCCCCTGTGCCCCTCCATACCCAGCCCCCGTGCCCCTCCCTGCCCAGCCCCCGTGCCCCTCCCTGCCCAGCCCCCGTGCCCCTCCCTGCCGCAGCCCCCGTGCCCCTCCCTGCCCAGCCCCCGTGCCCCTCCCTGCCCAGCCCCCGTGCCCCTCCCTGCCCAGCCCCCGTGCCCCTCCCTGCCCCTGCCCAGCCCCTCCCTGCCCAGCCCCCGTGCCCCTCCCTGCCCAGCCCCCGTGCCCCTCCCTGCCCAGCCCCCGTGCCCCTCCCTGCCCCTGCCCAGCCCCTCCCTGCCCAGCCCCTGTGCCCCTCCCTGCCCAGCCCCCGTGCCCCTCCCTGCCCAGCCCCTGTGCCCCTCCCTGCCCAGCCCCCGTGCCCCTCCCTGCCCCTGCCCCTGTGCCCCTCCCTGCCCAGCCCCTGTGCCCCTCCCTGCCCAGCCCCTGTGCCCCTCCTTGCCCCTGCCCAGCCCCTGTGCCCCTCCCTGCCCAGCCCCTGTGCCCCTCCCTGCCCAGCCCCTGTGCCCCTCCCTGCCCAGCCCCCGTGCCCCTCCCTGCCCAGCCCCCGTGCCCCTCCCTGCCCAGCCCCCGTGCCCCTCCCTGCCCAGCCCCCGTGCCCCTCCCTGCCCAGCCCCTGTGCCCCTCCCTGCCGCAGCCCCTGTGCCCCTCCCTGCCCCTGCCCCCGTGCCCCTCCCTGCCCAGCCCCTGTGCCCCATTCTCTGAATTCACCATGGCTCTAAACACAAGCTGGGTCTCTCGAGCGGCTCTCCTGTCTAAGCACCCCAAGGTCACTTCTCTTGAAGTCTTGAAGCTGTGTGTGAGCAATGGCACTGCTGGCTGGTGTCATAACCCCAGCATCCCAAAGAAGAGGGACCTCAGGTCCCTCCCACCCACCCTGCCCAGGCCCTCCTTCAGCCCTGTCTGTGTCCAGCGATGCTTGCCTCCACCCTGGCACACCAGTGCTGACCTGAGTAACTCCCTGTCGGTCCCTATGTGCAGGTGAGGTCCCAAACGGTATATATCCTTGGGACATGACTGTTGAGGGGTTAAGGGAGAAGGAAGAGACCTGCAGAAGGGTCAATTGCTGTCCTGTGGTGAGCTGGGCTCACACACATGCATGCACACACACAATACACACATGCTCATGCACACACATGTACACACGAGTGCATGCACACATACACGAGTGCATCCACACATGTGTGCACATGCACACGTACACATGAGTGCACTGCACACACACAGCACCTGCCAGCTCCAGCCCAGTGCAGAGCAGAGGGGGAGGAGGAGGTTGGAGACACAGGGACCCATGCTGCTCTGCTTCCACTTCCTGCAGACAGGCCGGGGCGCTGCTGAAGCCTCAGCGCCAGGCAGAGCAGGCCCACTGCTCCACTCACCGGGGCCAGCTCACCCTTACTGCTCACCTGGGCCCCGCTCACCCCCGACCCCACTCACCCCCGACCCCACTCACCCCCGACCCCGCTCACCCCCGACCCCGCTCACCTCCGACCCCGCTCGCCCCCGACCCCCCTCACCCCCGGCCCCGCTCACCCCTCGCCCCGGCCCCGCTCACCCCTCGCCCCGGCCCCGCTCACCCCCGGCCCCGGCCCCGCTCACCCCTCGCCCCGGCCCCGCTCACCCCGGCCCCGCTCACCCCCGGAGTCCCCGGCAGAGGAAGAGCAGCGCGCGCCAGGCGAGCGCGGCGGCCAGCGCGGCGGCCAGCAGCGCGGCCAGCAGGCCGAAGCGGCAGGCGGCAGGCGGCCCCCACTCCTGCACGGAGAAGCACGCGCGGCCCCGCGCCGTCAGGTTGGCGCCCAGCCACAGCCCCTCGGAGAAGAGCAGGCAGCGGCCGCGGAAGTCGTGGCCGTGCTGGGCCAGCGGCAGCGCGGCGGCCAGGCCCAGCAGCAGCGCCAGGAGCGAGCAGGCGCCCTGCGCCGCCAGGAGCCCGTCCAGCGCCATGGCGGGGCGGCCGGGGAGGGGGGCCGGGGCGCCGGTGGGCGAGGGCCGGGGCCAGGGGACGGGCCGGGGCGGGCCTGGGTGGGGGATCCGGGGGTCGCCCGGGGACGCCGGGGGCCGGGGGCCGGGTGGGGGCCCGGGGACGCCGGGGGCTGGGGACCGGGTGGGGGCCCGGGGACGCCGGGGGCCGGGGGCCGGGTGGGGGGGCCCGGGGACGCCGGGGGCCGGGGGCCGGGTGGGGGGGCCCGGGGACGCCGGGGACCGGGTGGGGGCCCGGGGACGCCGGGGACCGGGTGGGGGCCCGGGGACGCCGGGGGCCGGGTGGGGGGGCCCGGGGACGCCGGGGGCCGGGTGGGGGCCCGGGGACGCCGGGGGCCGGGTGGGGGCCCGGGGACGCCGGGGGCCGGGTGGGGGCCCGGGGACGCCGGGGGCCGGGTGGGGGGGCCTGGGGACGCTGGGGACCCGGAGCCGGGCGCCGGGCCGGGCGGCGCGGGAGGCTGCGCAGTGGCGGCGCCGGGTCCGCGCGCCCCGCCCGGACGCGTGCGCAGCGCGGTCAGCGCCCAGCACTGGGCGATCCGCGCCGCGGCGGTCAGCACCGCGGACAGCTCCTGGGGCGCGGGGCTTGGCGCGGCGCGGCGGATGGGGGCCCGGGCCCCGGATGGCGCCGCGTCCGGAGCCGGCGGGCCTCGGCCTCCCCACGCTGGCTTCCCGAGGCCCCGGGTCCCTGCGGCCTCGCCGGGCCGGGCCGGGCTGGTCTGCGGGCCTGGGCGCGCACGGCAGGCGCCGGGGCAATGGGAGCCACGCAGGGGTCACTGGCCAGCGAGCGGCCGGGCCCGGGCCCGGGAGGGACCCCGAGCTGGGCACCGCTCGCGGCCATGAGCCCTGGCGGGCGCCCGGATTAATCGAATCAGCGCTGCTGTGGGCTCCGGGACCCAGGCCCGGCCGCACCCCAGAGCGAAGCCGGGGGGCCTGGCTTCTGATGGAAAGCACCCAAGCCTCCTCTGGTCTGTGTCACACGTGTTCATCTTTCATTACAGCACCAGAGGTGCGGGGAACCCCCCTCCCCTCACCCTGTCCCGCCACTCAGCAATGCACACCGTCTCCCCGATCTGCGCTCCCTCCTGCGTGCACAGTGTGAAGCTGGCTCTGCGGTTCAACATGTCAAAGACATCCACCGTGCCTGCAGAAAGGGCTGTCTCCTGCACTACTTTTCAGGTTTGAACTCGGGACCTTGTGCTTTCCAGGCAGCCACTCCATCCCTTGGTCCAGGCTTCTAGCCCTTTTTGCTGTAGTTATTTTCTAAGAGAGATGCTCACTTTTTGCCTGGATTGTAATGCCAATGAGCCGCATCTTGTCATCTCAGGTGACCAGGGTGACAGGCGTGGGTCTGTCTGATATGGAATCTTGCAAATGCTGCTCCTGGGCTGGCCTGGGACAGGGATCTTCCTAATCTCAACCTTCTGCGTAGCTAGGGTAACTGGCATGAGGCACCAGTGCCTGGCTGCTTCATTTTCTTTCTTTTCTTTTTCTTTTGTGAAAATACTGTACAGAGTGGTTACAATTACATGGGCAAGATAATGAGTACATTTCTTATCAAGCATTGTAGCCTCTCCTTTGTTTCCCCTTCCCATCCCTTCCCAGCCTCCCCCCCCCCGCACCCCCACCCAATCCTCCCCCCCACTTCATTTTCTTAAAAAACTACACATCCCTCCATAACACTGATACTTCTGCAGGTTAAGGGCTCCTGTTGCTGTTTCCAGGGCTGCTGTGTGAACACCCGTGCACACACATGCATGTGTGCTCTTATGGTTTGCACACAGGTTTCTAAGAAACTCTTGGAAGGGGAATCATGGGGAATGCACATTTAAAATATTGGCAGAAACTACCAAACTGCTCTCTGAAAATATTGTCAACGTTTCCCTCCCAACCAGGCCACAGACCTTCCACCAGAGCAGGCCTGTTTCTCAATTGATCGCTCTCACATGGGGAAGGCTCTTTGCCGGCACGCGGCTTGCGGTCTCTTTATCACCTCAGGTGAAAGCTCTTGTGCTCACTGCCATTTGCCATTGGTCTGTAAGTCCCAAGTCTGTCTGTCCCACAGTCCCTGGAGCACACACGGAGGTCCAGCCCCAGCTCCCGCTCCACAGAAGATGCGCCCTGGGGGAATCCTGCTCCTGTGCAGTGTCCCGAGTCTCACCCGGGGAATTCAGCAAGAGTGGAAATCCATCCAGGCATTGGCAGTGGTGGGATGGTTCAGCGAGGGCTAGTTATTCCTCCAGGCTTCGGCCAAACAAAACAGATCTGGCGATCGAGAGGGAAACTACAGCCTGAGTTACAGGAATTATTAAAAGGCATAGACTCTGGAATCTTTACAGATGAGTCCTACTAACCTTCAAAAATCAAAGAATTCCTTTGTTATCTGTATTAGTGTACTCACTGAGATTCTCCAGAGAGACAGAATACGTGTGTGAAAGCATATGCGTGTACTATACGTGTGTGTATAGGGTAGGCTATATATACACGTATGTCCTGTGGAATCCTATTTCAGTGTATGAGACACGCTGAGAAAGAGGGAAGGAAGAGCTTGGCTGAGGGCATGGCTCACAGCCGGGTCCAGAGTTTGCAGGGAGTCAGCGCTGCCATTGGAGTCTGAGGCCCACCTGCTCCCAATTCCCTCTTGACCCGGGAGGTCAGTTCTTATTCTACCTGATATTAAGGAAAAACTGCTTCACTCAATGTCTACTGGTTTGGATGTTAATCTTACCCAAAAATATATCCATAGAAACATCTAGAATCCTATCTGACCACACATTTGGGCAGTTTGGCCCAGTCAAGTTAACATGTAAGATTTGTCATCCTGTTATTGAAATATTTTCAATCTATAGAAAATATGATAAAACTCCAAAATTCATTTTTGAAAGCCAATGTCATATGAATGAAAAATCTTGTAAGAACGTATAGGGAAGAAATAGGAAGTCATAGGAAATTTTATCTACCATACTGATGGCAAGAAAGTTCAGGCAGAATTCAGTAAGCTCACTTTGTGGGCATACTGCATGTGATTTTAACTAAGCAGCACAGTCAAAACATAACAGACAATTGAAATTTTAAAAGCAGAGTTTCAGTTTCCCCATGCATATTATACCACCCTGTATAGAAACTGTAAAGAAACTAGCACCCAGTCCTGAGCTGCGGTGTGCTGTGTCTGAATGGCGTGTGACCTACTGACTGCTTCCTCCCTGAGTTTTGTGAAAGCCTTCCTCCCAGAAAGCAGAGGTCAATGTCTTTAATTTCGTCCAGAGTGGCATGTTTAGAATATGAAAGGCAGTGTGCTGTTAGCAGACACTGGGCATTGGCAAAGGGAAAATGAACCAAGCACTGACCTCTGTGTCCTGAGAACTCCGTGTTTTCCTGCACTGGCAGTCTGGAACCATCTGCACTGGCGGTCTAGAACCATCCACCCTTGGTCCCAAAGGTTAATTCAAGTGGCAAATTAAATATAAACCAATGAGTTAAAAAAAATTACAAGGCCAGGCACCAGTGCTCATACCTGTAATCCTGGCTATTTGGGAGGTAGAGATCAGGACAAAATTCTGGTGGCTAGAGAGAGAGCTGTATAAGGATTCGTTGGTGTCAGGGTGGCCGGTGGGGGCTGGGGGGACATTATTATATCAGCCTTTGCTCTCCGAAGCTCTGGAGAAGCTGCTAGAAGCTGGTGTGGCCATCACTGGAGAGTGGGGAACTGGCTGCCGCCGCAGTGGTCTGGCTGTTCCCGTCCTCTGGGGAAGTTTTGCCTTCCCTCCCAATGGCCTGTCTGAGGGCGGTTTGCCTTTTATCTGTAAACCCAGACCTTCCTGGGGGCCCAGGTAACGGGGGAGGCAGACAGGTGCAGAATGGCGGCGGAATGCCTAGCTCTTGTCCTGCCTTCGTTAATTCATGGGTAAGTAGTCGGTGCTTTTCAGCAAACGCGGTTTAAGGACCTCTTACGCTATAACCCTGTGGATGTGAAGTGTGCTGCTCATGGGCTGGGCCCTGCTGGTGGGTTGCGACTGGCAGCTGATTGGCTCCCAGCTGATTGGCTCCCAGCTGATTGGCTCCCAGGATTCTGCTCTCATCAACACATTCACCCACCCAGGACTCATAATCTGGTGGTGGATGCTTCCAGAAGTGGCGTGGTGGGAGGAGGAGGTCACGGGGGCAACCTCAGGGCCATGTCCTGAGTCTGCTCCTCTCTGTCTCTCTGCTTCGCGCTTCTTGTCTGTCTCTCTGACTCTCTTTCTTTATCTTCCCATCTGTCTCTGTCCTGCTCTGGGCTTTTCTCCCGCCTGTGTGTCTCTGCCTCGCTCTGCCTCTCTGTGTCTCTCTTTTACCCCCTGCCCCCATGCCTTCCTGGCTGTCATGGGAGGGCACTCTGGTGCCATGACACCCTGTATCATGATGCAATGATGCTCCACCAGCAACGGAGCCGGCCGACCACGCACAGGAACCTCTGACTCCAGGACTGCCCGGGCGTCCTGCAGTAAGAAGCGGCCGGTGACACGGGGAAGTTCTCAGACCGTGAGCCGGAGGCCTTGAGGTACAGCCTGGGGCCCAGACCTGTTCTCCAGGAGGCGCTCTCTTTTGGATAAACGCCCCCTTACCCAGCCTCCGTGTCTCCCCCTTTCTTCCCCGCGATCAGCACTCTCCCATCCGGCCCCAGGCTGGTGCCCCTCTCCTGCAGGAGCTGCTCTCGCACCCGCACCGTGGTCTGACTGCTTGCAGGGAAGCCCGGTGCCCCAGGAGATCACTGTTCTCCTCCCAAAGAGCCCAGGCGTCTGTGAGCAGCTGCTGTGGGCTGTCTGCCCAGCCAGGATCTCAGCACGGGCCTCACAAGCCAAACCAGCCACGGCCTTAGAAGGGGCCTTTCTATCAAAGTGGGCCCGCACAGCGCCTGCGTTGGCCTGTGGCTTCTACTGCGTGGACTGTCTGCTAAGACAGAGTCAGCAAGTGAACAAATAACAGAGGACGTTATTTCTTCACCTGTTAC